CTCGCGCGGTGACGGTTACACATACGAGGCACACAACATATATTCAAAGAGCCGCAAAGTGATCCGATGGATAAAAGCCATCTTTTATATCGTCGTATCGAAATACTTTTTAACTTTAGTACGCAATTATGTCACGTGCTTTTAGAGTTATGGGCATCGAGTCGAGCGTAATTTTTTTCCTTCGATTCGGTGTGTCGTCAAAGTCGTCAAAGATCGAACAGAAGTAATCTTTCGAAACAAGAAATGCGAAAAAAAAATTTCCAGTGACAGCGTTTGTCAAAAAAGTCCTCGAAGCACAACCCATCATTGAAAGCTCCGGACGTACATACACTGCAGGCAGAACAACGCCGATATAATAATATTACTGGAAATTCACGAGGTTATTTCCGCGTAATAATTGCCGCGTGCATGCACATACTACTCGTACTTTTGCAGGCAAGTAGCGAGGAGGACAATAGTTGACTACAATTTGATATTCTTCATTTCGGGTAGCCGGGCGAGGTCGCGTTTTATGGGCTCTCCGCTCTCTCTCTCTCTCTCTCTCTCTCTCGTTGCTATTATAATCAGATAATGGATTATTATGAAGTAATACAGCCACGACAGAAATAGAAAAGCGAACGCGCTCGCATTAAACACACGCACAAACGTACAAGAGCTGGCACAAGTGTAATACACGAGTAAGAGAGAGAGAGAGAGAAAGAGACAAAACGAAAGGGTCGGGGGTAATAAAACTCAGTGGAAAGTGTTTTACATGGCGGCCGCGCGTTGTCGTTTCTGCTGCTGTTACTCCACCTGTACACTTTATACGTACGAAAAGTGCGATGGGAAAGAGAAGTCACACATACACACGTGTAGACTCCCGGAGGCACAAGCGAGTACCAGATATGCCGAGTATAAGTGGTGAACAATGGCTTTTGTGGTATAGACATCGGTAGGTTCGTTGGGCTGTTGCTGCTGATGCCGTTGTCCCTACCTATCGTGCGAGAGCCCGTAATTTTCGCTTGTTTTGCGCTCAGGGAATCGCGCGACAACAAAAAATAAAAGACAGACGAGAAAAAAATCTGCTGAATGCTGCTGCTGCTACTGCTGCCATCGCCACCTCTCGCGACGCGACGACCACTTCCCACGCGATAAATACCGGACAGCAGCGTTCAAATGCTGCTGCTGCTGGGACGGGCATCGAGCTTTTTCAAGCGGCGCTTCGCCAAATCGCTTTAAAAGCGCTTGGTTTCGAGAGAGAGTTGTGACAAAAAAATCGCGTCGACATCTTCCTGTGCGCTGCGTTGGGAGAAAGAGGCTCTACGAAGCGTGTGATTTTTTCGTTCCTTCCGATGACGCCCAGCCTGCGGCTTTTCACAAGTATAAAGTGTAATATTTTTATGGCCGAACTGCTGCCGCGCACACAATAGATATTTTTCCTCGTTCTCGGTGGCGAAAATCTTACGAGGCGTTTGTCTCTTGGTTTTATGGGCAGTCGCGAGCACGAGTACACAATGTATGCAGCATACGAGCAAGTTTAATAACGCGGGCCGCACGAGCCCTGGACCGTTCCTAATTCCGTGGCACTCGTGTGTGTCTCTGAAGTACCTTCAAGCTCGCGGTTTCGGCTCGCGAGGCTTAAATTGCTTATGCAATTCGTTATTATATATCTCGGCTCTTGTCGGCTGCCGGCTGCGCGGTATAAACGCGCGCGTCGTTGCCTGTGTATTAATGTGCATTAAAATCGAGCGAGGCTTTGGTCTTTTTGAACGCGCGCGCGCGAATACGCGTCCCGCCTGGCCAGTAACAAACAAAGTTGGGCGATTTCACGAATATTACATTCGTAATTATATTTTCGGTCAACTTTGCGAATCTCTCGCGCCACCGTATACACGGCTGCAGGCGCGGAAGCGAGAATCGGGGGATTGCTCGCGCGGGGCTCTATACCGCAGACTAATTAACATTACAACGAGCGGTCTCTGCATGTGTGTTTGTGAGTGTTTGCTGCCTGTAGGTGTGGGTGCCCTGCAAGCTCGCTCGCGCATATTATATATACGTACACGATCCTTTAAATTCATCATCGTTCGCGCCTTGCGCCGCCACCGCTATTTATCACGCTCGTGCGTGCAGTGCAGTTATAGCGATACGTATACGTACGTGCTAGCCAGGCTACCTACTCCAAGTGTGTATGTGTGCGTGTGAAGTATACGCAGCTAGCGCACACAGCTGCGAGGTGCGCGCGTGCGGGGCATTATCATGGTAATTTGTTAGAAACAAACATTATAATTTCAGAGGAGCTAAGACGATGTCATAGCCGCCGTCGTCGTCGTTAGCTAGCTAGCTAGCAGCGCGCGAATATACATGATATGTACACGAACGCAGAGGCACACACCAGCGCAGGCAAGAAGTTGTTGCCCCGGCGCTCGCGCTAAAAGGGATCTTGGCCTGCTTTGGACAGTGTCCATTGTCTTGAAGATTATTTATCGGCTGCGAATAAGAGATGCCGCGCGCTTACTCGCTATACACACGGCCGGTCTGAAGCCCAGGCTGTTTATGCTTCGAGGATTTATATCGTCTTAAGCTCTCGACGACGAGAAAAGAGCATAATGCGCCGCAACTTCTGATAGAAGAGAGAGAGAGCATCGTCCTCTCGGACATCCTAAGGTGGCACGATCGCCTCTACTTTCCGAAAGATAAATCTCGAGACACCGTCGTGGAGAGGCGTACCAAGACCTCGGCGTGAAAAGACAGGCGCGCGCACCGACAGCGAGAATATAATCGAGCTGAAAGGGAATAAATAACAGGAGGGTCGCGACTATACGGCAACGACGACGACGACGATGATGATGATGCAGCTTACGCGGTAGCAAATGCGAGAACACAGGACGCGACACCGAGAAAAAGTAGTAAAACAGCAGCGGAGCAGTCGTTGCCGCGTACGCCGAGCTTTTATTGAGAAAAAGCAAGTCGCGAAAAGCAGTGCAGTCGGCGCGCGAGTTTTATTAGAAATTTACAATGTCGTGTGCGGGCCCGGAACTTTTTCAATACCTACACCAGGCAGAGACTATAGTGCCACATGTATCGCGCGTTCATTGCTCGTCGAGCGCAACGTGACCGCGACGAGGCGCAATGAGTGCTGTGTGTGCCCCGACAACAAAAAATAAAGGACGAGGAAAAACGTATAGAGAAACACTGGCTGCTGTTGCAGTGCACATATACTTGCGCGAGCTTCTGTGCCGCAGCCAATAAAACTCCCCGAACAGACCGACGATTTTTTTTCTCTTTCGAATGCGCGAGCTTTATATACGCGTGTACGCGAAAGGCCAAACGAGGCAGTCGTTTGCTCGCGCGCCCTCGCTGATGCTGCTGCTGCTACTCTCGGCTAGGAAATCCAGAAACGCTTTTACGGCCATAACTGGAGATAATGTGCAATCATTTTGGAATGGAAATTAAAATCAGATGATGAATCCTAACGATGCCGTTTATTATTTTAATTTTGCCGCCGCCCAAGACGCGAGAAGCGCCGCGTATTTGCGCGCAAAACCTCCCCCACTTCAACTTCGAGACACTAAATTACGTTCCTATTAGCCGTATAATTACAAGATGGCCCCAGTAATTTCCGTTTATTCCGCGACTTCGTTTCGACTCTTGTACACCCGCTCTTGCTCTCTTTCACCCCCCCCCCCCCCCCCCCCCCCNCCCCCCCCCCCCCCGCCCCTCCCGCAAAAAGCCCTCTCTCTCTCCTCTTCCCTTCGACCTATACCATATATACATTCATAACTTCTCTTTTCCAGCATACTGAGCTATTTATGCTGTTTCATGAATTTATACTTTCCAGCGCAACTTCTGAGATTCATCATGATTCACTTTGAGCATTATTATAGGCAAAATGATCATAAACTGCAAAGTACTGGCTTTACGATAAAAAAATTACTTAATTCACAGTTATGGTATCCTTCTTTATGTAAACAAGCAATTAGATATACAATTTTTTATTGGGTTCCAAATATTGCAATAAAATTCATCAAATGAAATAAAACCAATCGTTTCAATGAACGGTCAATATGTATACAAATAATCAGAAGTATCATCTTAATATTTTTAATGTGAATGCAAAGAAACAACAAGATTGTATGAGTGCAGTCAAATTGAATAGAAAAACTCATAAGTATTGTTACAGACAATATACATCAGATTGGAAAATGTTGTATAAGTATATAAGTTACCAAGCATGAATCATTTGGATTTGAAACGATACACATTCTACATGATTTAAAAAGTTGATGGTTCAATGAACTGGAATAGATTAAAACTAAATTTTATTTTCTCAATCAATTCAAAACATTTATTTATAGAACTTTTCTCATTAACCAATTATCTTCATGTTTCTTTATTATGGAATACCATAATATTTATAAGCAAACTAGCAATTAATAGTATTTATAGATGCTACGCTAACAACAAATTCAATTAAAGCAAATATTCATATATATTTGGATACATAACGATAGAACGTAACAAAATGTGTAATAAAATATATTTGATTATCATGAAAGTTAATTGATAATATTTGCTGTCGTCATTGAGTATAAAATAGATCACTTTATTGTATAAGGTTGAACATATATTAATAGTGAATTTAATAGTTAGTTTAAGAGTTACATTGAGATAATTATTGATCTCTTTTATAAAATTACAAAAAATATAAATCAAAATATTTGATGTCAACAGTATCTTAATTTCAGAATTAACTTCAATAAGAGTTAGTTGTTAGAAATTGATTGAAATTATTGAGATAAAAATGTATTGTTTGAATTAGTTTTATAGTTTGGCTTTAACTACATGGCAATAAATGAATAGACACAAATAAACAATTGAGATCAAGTTTAAACTTTCACGTAATTGTACTATTGGAGGTTAGATCGCTCATAACAGTCAACAAGAAGCAGACGAAAAATGCACGTCTCATGCCAATGTGACTGTTATCCTCTGTATAGGTCATGATTAAAAAAAAAGCTAACCTGATAAGGTACATCTTCTTTTTTGCTACGAACGGCTGTCACGTTGAGAGTGAGTATGCAGCACTTGTCGGCATTCCAAACAAAGAGCACGTCATCGCGAATTTCCAGGATATTTTTCGTCTCCTTGCTGAATTTTGGCAAATCAGCCTTCAAGTCCTTGAACAGTTTCAAATCGTTCAACCCTAACGGGTCGGTGCACGAAGTCATTTTTATAAAACTATATAATCACTCAACAATCACTCGACAATCGTAAATCAACAACTCGACCAACTTGCAACAGCATGTATTACACGCAGGAGATATCGTTCAAATTCGCAAGGCAGTAACAACAACGAAGTTGCTCGATTGATTTGGCGCGCGGAACACGCCGGTAGTTATATATAGATATACTAGTTTATCGACAATACCGAGCGAGAGCAATGAGAAGTTGGCTGCACGAACACAATATAATATACAAGTTATTTAGGCGTGTTGCTCGTCGGCAGTCATATTACATGCTTGCTAAGTGTCTACATCATAGAATCTAGTAACATTGTTCAACTTTTTGAAGTTTTCTTGGTGAACACCATTTTTCTTTTTCACAAGAAAAAATTGACTATTGTTAATAATAATATATAAGCCTTTAAATATTATGCAGAAAACTGATTGGAAATAATATGAATTTTTTCAGAAATTCTTTAGCATATAGCGATTAACTGAACAATTTTTTGTGCGCATATTTTTACTTCACTGTAAAGTAGGTATGACGTAACAAATAATTTCCGCTGGTTTTTTTCTATAAATTAAAAACAATGTAAAATAATTGATGATTTTTAAATTTTTACTATTTATAGAATCTAATTATATTACCCTACTTTAAAACCTTTGTCATAATTTTTTTATATATTTTATTTTGTAAATCTGTAGAAACTTCTTTATTTGCATGAATAATAAAATTATGGAAAATTTTTTTATCTAAATTTTAGTTTATTCAAAGTAAACAGATTTAATTTTAACGGCAATATTTATAATTTATTATCAAAAACCGATTTTCGAAGCGTAATTTTTTCTTTTAGAAACTTCAACGTATTTAGGGTATCTAATGATAATATGAGATAAAAATTCTACTTTGAAATCGATATAGATATATTTTCTTGTCTGGCTACACTGTGAGACTGCTGACATAAGAGCCTCCGTGGCGCAATTGGCTAGCGCGTTCGGCTGTTAACCGAAAGGTTGGTGGTTCGAGCCCACCCGGGGGCGTTTTTTTGCATTCGTTTATGACGAAAAAATTGTTGTTACATGTATATTAATTTTGCGTGTCCGATTTATTATTAAAATTTTGTTGGTAGTTTTATTAAATATAAATACAGTTTTTTCACGTTGAAGAAGTTTTTTGAGATACTTAGTGATTATGAAAGAAGAGTCGCTAGTTGCAAGACCACAAACGTAGGAATTGATTGATTATTTCAAAAATCGGATCTTGAAAATCGTATGTGAGACATGACAAAAATTTGGCAGTATTTTCAATTGATTTTAGACTCATACTGAAAATTAAATAGTTCACTTTTTAGAAATCATAGCTTTTAAGGAACAAAATTGGAGACTACATACAAAAAATAAAATACGAAATTACATGGAACCCTAGACAGTTGAAAAAAACGTATGTATCACAGTAGTTACTGATTTTTTAATCAATCATAAATGAGATCATAATGAAATAATTTCATTTTATTAGTCTTTACCATGAATACAATTTTTTTTGGTTATTTATTTCCAGTTTAGGCTCGAAGGACGTACGCTGCACACCACTGATCAGTTGTTACATATTAAATAAGTATTTTATTGAATGTACTTAATCGATTGCCCTTGTATTGTAAAAGGAAGTGATGATGAACGATTGGATGATATAAAAAGAGAAAAAAACTTATTAAAACTAAGTTTAATAATTCTTCATCAACCGTACATATTTAATCTTTAAAAACATCTAATTGAATTAAAAAAACAAAAAAAAATTATTAAAAATAGTATTACAAAATTATCGCTCCACAAAATTTCATCCAAATGTTGTCAATATTCAAATGCTTCTATCTTGATCTATATTCATGGTATCGTAACGAAATTTTTTTTGATTTCTTGATAATTTTGTTTTCTTTAAATCTATATAGAGTCACTTACCCAGTGAATGAAAGGTTTCAAAAAAGTTTGCTTAAATTTAGCTCAAATCAACGTTTTTAATGAATTAAAGGATATTTTTCACATGGATTATAATAGTAAATGTCTTACTCTACTGAACAGAATTTTTACTTTCAACTTTCATTAATAAACTAACATATAAGGGAAACGATGCACCAGTGAAAAAAACATTGTCAACAGTAAATGAAACCATTATAATTAATGATAATGTATTCAGAAAGTTGTTAAAAACTATTGAAATATTTAGTATTAATGCTCAGTTATATCATAAAATTTCACTACCGATGAATTAGTTCTGTATAATTAAATTATATTAATTTATAAATAAAGTTTCTTTCACTGGTGCGTTTTCAATCACTGGAGAGGTGACTATATTACAACGCTAAAAATGACTAAAAATAGCACCTGATAATGACGCCGGAATTAATTTTAAAAATAAGGAAAAGAAGTATTTATTAAATTCTTATTTTCTGTAACATTTTTCATTACAATAGAAATAATTGTTGTCAACACTTCCATAATCGCAACACTTCCATTTTCTTGGACTGAACTGTGACAGGTGGTTTTACCATAAATTTTGAAACTTTTGGATTGGATTTGTTCATAGATTTACATTTACGAACCGGCTTATTTTTAGCAGTAGTAAGTACTGTTTTATATGTTTCCGTATTTTTGTTGGGATGATCTAGATCGTTTTGAATCAGCTCAGAAGCAAAATCATCATCGTCCAAGCTGAACGGACGGAAAGGTATGAACGTTTCAGATTCATACATTTAACGCGTATTTATATTTTTTTGAACTAGTCACCGCTAGGTGGCTTCGACGCGAATCGTCGCTCGCGCATTAGAATAAGACTAGTTCTAAGCATATAGGAGAGTCGATCTCACGGCATAATAAATTCTAGCGAAAGCTGGTAGCAGGTGCACTTCTCGCTCAAGTTTCGCGGTTGAAGGACTTGTCTTCTAGCCCGCTGCGAAGATCGAGAAGTTGTCGGTAGAAGAAGATTCGTCTTCTAGCTCGCTGACGGCTTCGAGATTTGACTGTTGAAGGAGGTAACCCCTAGCTGGCGGTCACTTGAGGAGCGATGTATTGCATTTACGCAAATTGAGACATTTCCGTGATAATAAATTACGGAGCCATTGAAAATTTTTATTTTATCATTGTTATTGAACTTACAGATTTGTGAGTTCCAGAGTGTAACAATAATCTGAAAGAAAGTCTTAATAAGAAAATTATCGAAAAAATAGTGGAAGATTAGTTATTTTTTTACTGTATTACCGTATCCTTATCATCATCTTCAGCAAGGTATTTTTTGTAGGAATTATGTGTTAATACCTTTCCTTCTTCTTGCATTGAAATATTACGACCTCTGAATTCTGAAAAATATAATTTATAAAAATACAATTTATATAATTACTTAAGAAATGGAAATATTAATTATAAAATGATATACATACTTCAAGGTATTTTATTATCAAATGTTTTGCAATTTCCGCGTCGTCAGTCTTCCAGGGGAATTTCGGCGTTCAAGCGCGCTCTCCACCTCCAGACTGTCGATCTGTTGATGCCGAGGCGCTCGCCGATGACCGTGTCACTAAGACCAGCTTCCATTAGGTCTTGCAATAAACCAAGTTTGGCATCAGTTGGAACGAAATCAGCGCGATTCATTCTGAACACCTACTATCGACGACAATTCAAAAAAGGCTGATGTGCATGCTTGACTTGCACACGATATAATAGCTACAAATCATATAAACAAAACGCGTTAACATGGAATTGCCGTCTTAGCAATTTTCGCGTCACATTTCTCTGACGATTCTCTAGAAATGGAGCATAGCGCTTGACTCGACGTGATGCGGTATCCCTTTCATCTCTGCCGGCATTGGCCGGGACGCGGCACGTTCGTTGAAGCTGTATGAATTCTGTACTCCGTTTTTCGAGAACCATCAGAGAGATACGACGCGCTTCCGATAAGACGTTTGCTACGACGGCAATTCAGTTTACGCGCTTTGTCTATGTGGTTCTTCGTCATTGTGTCGTGTACGAGTCCAACGCGTCAGATTTTTCTGAATTATCGAGAATGGATCGCGCTTTTGTCCTGATCGATGTCAATCATAACCAATTCCAGGGCTTATTGCAGGCTGGCCCAAACAGCACCATAATCGTGGCGAGCACCTTGTCATCGCCAGGTCAAAATTATATATAAATGGCGTAATTCAAGAGGAAACGAAGGAGAATGAAAAGAATGTGAAATAAAAAAGCATTGTTTTAATTTTAAAAAATACAATTAAGATAAAAAATTTGCCTACAGAGGAGGATGAATACATTATTGCCTTAAGGCATAGAGCAATATTTTTTTTTAACTCAATTTCGACGACGGATGAAGTTTTCCAAAAAGCTGAGACGTCGAAGAATGTCTCTGCTTCGCGCGTGCATCCGGCCGACGCAGTTGGGCCCTTTCACGATGATCCGTCTCGTCAACGTTGAATATGATGATCGAAGTTTGGACCAAGTGACCTTGGCTCCGTAAGGTGCTGCAACATATAAAAATAGGGAAAATTAGCGACACTATGAGAGAGATTGATTTAACCATATTTATTTCGCCCAGGCACCGCAAGGGCCGAAGAGCTCAAAGAAGCATACATAGATATTTACAATTTTGATGGGTTTCGGAGTTCTTATAAATTATACTAAACTAAACATAAACATAAAAAGGTGAAGAAATTGTGAAAGGTGTAAAAGTTACAATACGTAGATGCAAGTATAAGTTAAGATAAATCTAAGATAGAGGTATTTTACAAATTGAATATATACAAAGTATATACACGGGCCGATATTCAATATTCAAGTACAATACAATATACAAGTAACGATATCCAATCGATTTCCGATTGACGGCGCATGTTCATTTAGGCGGGATCATCTCTCTCCGATCCGCTGCATGAGATGGCTCCTAAGTTGAGTCTTGAATACTGGCAGCGAGGGTAGCTCGATAATATCTCGCGGGAGCCCATTCCACATTCTGACTACGGACATCTTGAACCCATTTCCATATGTCTCAGTCGAGATCCTGTCTTGCTGGAAAACTTCGACCGTGGTGGGCCAAAGAGCACGCGTCGACACGCGACGCACCGGCAGAAGGTCGATGAGATAGGGCGGCCTCCCCGAGATTATGGACCGTTGGACCTGCATGCCGAGGAAATAATCACGGCGCAGGGCAGGTGTCAGCCAACCAAGCCTCTCGATGTAGGGTAGCATGGCTGCGTCTCGTGGGAGTCCGTAGATGAATCTCACAGCCGTGTTGAAAAGCCTCCGTAATCTAATGTCCAACTGGGCCGGTAGGGACCGCAAAACGGCGCAGACATAATCAAAGTGAGGCAAGACCAAAGAGGACACCAACATAGACCTCACGCTGGTCGGCAATATCCTTGCACGCGCTCTCAGTCGGTGAAGCACCCCGTGGACCCGCGAAGATATCTGGTTCACCTGAGCAGTCCAGGCCAAGTTGTTGGAGATGACCAGACCCAGGTCGCGAACCCGTGGTGAAAAGGGCACGACCACGCCATCCACCACCAGGGACTGGCAGGCACCCATGTCCATCCTCATATGTCGCTGGTCAGATGCCACTACGATCGCCTGCGTCTTCTGGGCGTTGAGGCGCAATCCACAGCGGCGAGACCAATCGAGCACGGCCTGAGCATCCTCGCATAGACGCCCAATCGTGTCATTGAGGTCGGCTGGCTCACAAGACAAATATATTTGTAAGTCGTCAGCGAAGAGCATGCAGGTATCAGCACAGTGTCGCAGCGCAGCAACGACAGTGTCGATGTAAGCCGCAAACAACACTGGAGCCGGCGAGGATCCTTGAGGCACCCCCGATGTACACTCGACAAATTCTGCGGCCACACCGTCTGTATCCACCACCGCCTGGCTCCTGCCAGACAGGTACGAGTGCAGCAGCCGCAGCGCGCCCGCACCAAAGCTGAGGTCCCGCAGCCGAGCGAGAAGTGTAGCATGATCGATCGTATCGAAGGCACATTTGAAGTCGAACAGGACCAACACCGTTATCTTCTCCTCTTCTATCGCCTTTCGCATGTCCTCCGTGATTCTGATGAGAGCCGATTGTGTACTATCTCCTGGCACAATACTCGCCGTAATTTTCGTGATAATTGCCACGGTAATTGCCACGGTTGTTTCCACGGTAAGGGCCACGGTAGTCGCCGTATTGGTAGGGCGCATCCAAATCCGCATAGTCAACCCATACAGCCGGGGCTGCAGGTGATTGAGCGGGCCAAGCTGCAGCATCCCATGAGGCAGAAGCGGCTGCTGGAACGGGCCAAACCGCTGAATCCCATGCAACAGGAGCAGCGGGGGCGACAGCTGGTGCTGGTGCTGGTACGGCCCAACCTGCAGGAGCTGGGGCGATTGCTGCTGCCCAAGCAGCAGACGCGGTAGCTGGTGGTGGTTGAGATGTGGGTTGCTGCAGCTTGTCCAAGACAATGTGCAGCAGCTTGCTGACACTTGCGGTCTCTATCGCCGCTGTTGCTTGAGCTTCTCGTTCCCCGCGAGCTACTCCTGCTGCTTCGGCGTCTCGCTCTCGTTGAGTTGCTGCTGCTGCATCAGCGTCTCGCTCTTGTTTGATCAATTTAGGACGGGGTGAGCCATCCTAGGGTCCGTTGATATGGCAGCATTCGGGCGTCGCGACGAAGGCCGAACACAAATCGAATGGCAGTGTTCAGCAGGCGGCGCATTTTAGTTTCCAGTTCATCTGTCAGGACCGGAAAAACAGCGCAGGCGTAGTCGAAGAGAGAGAAAGAGAGAAAGAGAGAGAGAGAGAGACCATTTGTAATTGAAGATTTGAAAAATAAATCTGGCCATTTCAGAAGATCAACTTTTCTGAACAGCAAATTGATTGTTCAAAGTGAAGCTAAATTAAAAACAAGTAATTTTTTCAATATTTATGATAAAATTATATAGTAAAAACATTTCAACACTGATTTAAAATCGAACAATTGTTTTAGTTACGACGAAACGAAAGAAGAAAGAGTTGGTGGTAGATCTTGACTATTTATCCTGTGAACACCACCTTCACATGACTGTTAGTTTAAAAGCTGCTACCCACAATAAATCTAATTCTAACGCTTTAATAGTAGGCCTTGGAGGAGGAGCACTGTGTATGTTCATTCGACAATATGTTCCACATGTAAGCTAATATCATAATTAAAATTTCTATGTAGATTTTTTTTAATTCATACTTTTCTATGACGATTAATTTTTTATATTTTTAGGTAAATCTTTTAACTGTAGAGATATGTAAAGCAATATTGGATGCAGCAAAGAGTAATTTTGACTTCATTGAAGTCATATCGAGAATTGAGAATAAATATCGAGTCAATTGAGATTGATTGATTGATTGATTTATTTATTTATGGGACCGGGGGGTGGAACCCTATGTGGCCCCGAAGTAGATTACAGATAGTAAATGAAGAATTATAAAAATACATAGATACATTGAGCAATTAGCGCATATGGGTAATAGATTACATACAGATAGACACTTCAAAATTGCAAAAAGAAAGAAATAAAAAATAAAGTACAGCACAGTTATTTACATATTTACATATATGAGTGTTTCTGACTAACTTTTAAAATTGCACGTACTGATGTGTAAGTCAGGTAATTTACCATGCACAGTTCTGAAATTTTATCAGGGTCTTTAAGAAGACTTGAGAGATCTACACTTTTATTTTTGAGCGTTTTGGTGGCCCGTCCTTTTTGTATCGCACGTTTGAAAATCGATTTTACTCTTGAGTCAAAAAACGTACTGCGAATAAAATAAATTTTCGATATCTTCTTAAAAAATGGACTATTAACCAAATGATCTGAAATTATCATGTTACCTTCCTTTATTCACATACTTTAGAAAAATTTGTGACCTGAACTTGATCCTCCTAAATTGGAAATTTCCCAGAACGTTTTCCGCGCGTACTGGATTATTTGAACTTTTAGCTTTTTTTATACATTTTCATTTTTTACAATGGACTATTGTTTTTTTTTATATCTGTATACATGTTTAAAAAGGGCTGGAAAAGACGAACAAAATGAGCCCAACCAGAACTCTGTCCCTTATTTAATAAGAATTGTACGCAGGATTGAACATTCGATAATCCTGCGTTGATCACTTAAAAATTTTTGAAAAAAATTTTTTTTTCATGAAATTTTTTTCTACTATGAATAAATTAATTAATTTATAAAAAAATTTTTTTTCATGGGAAATTTATAAACAATTTTTATAAACAATTTTTTTTTTTCATGAAAAATTTTTATAAATATATTTTTTTTCATGAAAAATTTTTTTCTTATCATGAATAAATAAATTATTCAACAAATAATTTTTTTTCACACACTTTCTTTTTTTATTTAAAAAATTTTGCTATATCATCAAGGGCAAGGCCGTAAAAAAAAAATTTTACATTTAATTCATTTATAATGACTACGCAATTCGCCTACGTAGATAATTATGTGCGGGATGATATAAGTAATGTCACATGAAAACACATGAAAGAAAAAGGGGTTTTTTCGCTTCAAAAAGTGCATAAGGAAACTTGAAAAAATCCAAAGAAATTTAAGGTCATGTTTTTCAATGCATAAAACAGAGAAAAAAATTTTCGAGTTTGATATTGGCTCGTATCGCCGTATATAAATTTTCCAAATTTTTAATTATTTTATCTGAAGGCCTGAAGCCCTCGAAAAATCTGAAGAAATTCAAGGTGCTTAGTTTTGTTGATATGTACTATTATGAATTTTTTCAGATTTTTTAATTACTTCAGGGCTTCAGAATGAATATAAATAAAGAATGGACGTTTATAGGGGTGGAGGGGGTAGGAGGGGGGGATGGGGAGTAAAATTTTGGCTTTAGGATTTTTTTACCATGTACTATAACATATCAAAAGCGCATCTAGATCGGTGTCATTCGAAAATTTGAAGAAGTTTTATTTTGACCCACATTTAAATCGGGTTTCCCAAATGGACTATGGAGGAAAATAAAGCCCAAAGTTATTTTTGGGATTCTTTGTTGATAATATTCAAGAAAAATTCATTCCGGATACTGTGCCGCTAAATTTTTCATCAAAAATTTTTTTAGGCGTTATTTTAAAAGTTAGTCAGAATCACTCATATACAAAAGCTCAATGACACCCAATGAGCGCCGACCCGAAGCGGGACAAGCCAGAATGCGGGAGCCGCCCGCCAGCTCCATCGCCGGGCCAGGGCAGACGGAGCAAGGCCCCCGGGCCCACCAACAATTGCCCAGGGACTGCAGTCATGTGGGCTGAATTTTAGTATCAATTGATTGCACTATTAGTTGTAGTTGGGAAGTGAAAGTAGGCCAATGAGGGGAAGAGGTACGGGTTAGAGATTCTCAGTCGCACAGTGCTGCAGCCACTCTGACTTCTCAAGGGAGAGGAAGTGGTTGCGGAGGAACGTGCGAGGGTTGGGAGAGGTGGCCAGAAGGGAGAATGATGCAGGTAGAGAGTTGATCCATTTGGTGGTCGTATGAGTGAATGAATTATGGAGTGTTGATGTACGAGCAGATAAGTAGTCAAGACGTGGAGGAAGTTGTTGGGTCACTCTACGGTTGGGATCACGGCTCTCGAGGAGTGTGAAACGCGCTGCCAGGCAGGATGGTGTGCCACTGATCATGATTTTCCTTGCCAGGAGAATCATGAGTTGGTCGCGCCTATGTGCAACAGAGAGCCAACCAAGCGCTAAACGATAGGGCGTGACATGTGCCATTCGTGGGATGTTGCCGTAGATGAATCTAATGCATAGGCACAGATTAAAACCGTGCCTAAAAATTAAAATCGATATCTACATTTAACCCATTAATTCTCAGGATGTAGGAATTTAAAGTAAAATATTTTCTATGTTTCGAGCTTTAGAAAAACGTTGCAATTACATAATTTAATGTAGAATTTAATGCCCTTTCCAAAGCCAGGCTCAGATTTGAGATTTAATGCGTAGTTCAAAAGTTATGATCGTTTAAACATAAAAAAACGAGAAAATCTGTGTAAAACATGGAAAATGTATACGTTTTTTTATGTTCATTTTCTTTGGGAAGGGCATTAAATTTTACTTTTGAAACATTGGATTTTTGTTTGGATCGTATAGATGCCAAGGTGAAAAGCTTTGAACTTATCTAAAAATTTTATTGATTAATGTTAACAGACACCCTAATATACCTGATCATCAGCTTTGTTAATGAATTTTTCAATGTCTGTCCATTTAAACACTTCTGATTTCACTGACTTTATCCTTTTTACTTATTCTTAATCATAGTCTTCAAATTTAAAAGACGACTGATATCGATGTTTTCTTTTATATTCAACATTTTTTTTAACATCGACCAGTTACTCTACACTGTTGAAGGTTTTACTTAATATTTTAGTTCTTTAAAATAATAATTAGATTGTTTTCGTGTGAGGTCGAAATAGTAGTTTTCAATACAAGGGCCATAAGTAACACTTTTCGGCATGGCGTAGTTTAGGGCCCGAGCGCAGCGAGGCTATGGCCCGAGTATCGAACAACATTTTATAGTACTGTGCAAAGTTCACATTTATGCCCCCTTTTCCGAGCCATGAGTCGCACTTCTGGTAGCGCGAAGTGAGGTTAGCGCACGAGCGCATGCGAGTGTGATGCGAACGCAGCGGTGCCAGAATGTGCGACTTATGCCACAGAAAAGCGTGCCATAAATGTCAACTTATGCCACACAGTTCTATAAAATGATTTTTGTTATCATTCTGTCACGTTTTTAATTGCTGACCCTTATAAAAATTTCCTATAGGATCTCGCGAAATTCCTACAGGAGTCCTATAGGATTCCAATAGGAATTTCGCGGGATCCTATTGGAAATTTTTATAAGGGGATAAATTAGAGAGTATCGATCGACGGACTTTAGTGGTAAAGTTTCGCTACCCATAATCAATTTGGGCTCTTTATCAAAATCTCTTAAAAGCTCGTCTTCGTCGGTAGACGTACCATCGTCAGATGAAATATTTATATTGGTCATTTTATCTAATTCACAGTACTTTACGATTCTTTTTTACATAAGCAGGTTAATAATCAATGTTAATAATTCAAGCTACTGAAATTATCAATAATGCGTTGCCAGGCAGTATTTGCCCTAGCAACGCGTGCATCTGCAGCGGACGCAAAAGTGGTAGAAAGTGTTACTTTTTCTAGCCTAAGCAGGC